TTTTATAGACGTTCAGGTCTGACTGGACCGATTTTGGACCTTTTTAGAACATTTGTCAAGTTCAGATGTGCCTTTCATGATGTTGCACAATTGGTTATTTTATTATTTATTTATTGATTATTTTATATGCAGGCTTATACTTAAATTATGCAGCAACACATCTTATAAACATCCAGATGATGACACATTTAGACGTCCAGGGACGCGCAGAAAAGACATGGAATTCACGGCCAGATTACGTCAAAGACGTCCGTTCAACTTTCATTTTGGAACTAGTTTTCAACCATGACGGGACGTGACTGAGGGACGTCTTTTTAACGGTCATTAAACGTCCAAATGTTTGCTGGGAGATGCTTAGAGTAAACACGCCCTTGGAGCCTCTCGGATAAATTAAACCCATTCACAGGCGCCGCGTAGAGAGAAAGAAGTTGAGAACTCAGAATCAAGTAAACCGAAACCTCCTTCACGTTTCCTCTCAATCAGAGCCGGGCAAACTATATAAGTAGGCTAACACTGTGCATAGGCGGAGCGTATGTAAGGCTTAGCCTTCCCCTGGCCACGGGGACTTGGGGCAAAAATGCCCCTGCACCAATAAATTAAATCTATTACGTCTGTTTCTATCAAAGTTATATATAATATAATATGAATAGACAGTGTCGATTGCAGCATTAAATTAAAATCTCATGTTGCACTGTATTTCATTTTAGGCGTGTTTACAGTGTTGCGCATTTTAACCAATCACATACAATTCTGTTGCAATGAATGCAATGGCCAATCAGAGGCGTTCAGATGAGTCATCGCTGAAACTCATCAGTTTTGTTGTGTGCACGCCCTCCGCCTATGCTAACACTGTTCTAAATTCAGCTTTAAACAGAATGTCTTTCAGTATAAACAAACAGAAATTATTATTTTATAGAAGGCTAATTTGATGATAAACTACTGGGACTTTCGATATACTCGAAGTACTCCTCTGTTGTCTGTTGTTTCCATTTCCCACAGTAGCTACATTTATTCCCTCAGTGAGCAGTGTTTTTGTGCTGCAGTGTTGCTCTTATGTTGTACTATACTGTATATATATCATTTTTGGAGAGGATTCATTGGTCCAGTCTCCAATTTGCCCTTTGGCCTTTGACCATCATGGTCTCCTAATTATGCTCACATCGTCTAATTATAGCTTCATCACTATAATATAAGCTGTGTGGAGGGCATTCTGGCGCACTATAGCTGCCGTCGCATCACCAGATACCAGACGGATGCTGCACACTGGTGGTGGTTGAGGTGATTTCAAATTAAAGAGCGATTTCAGTCTGGAGAAAGGTAATATATAAATGTAATTGATTATTTTTTTATATAAATAGTATTATTGTTATTATAATAGCCTATACTTTCATTCTTGTCACACCCCTGGAGAGCACATTACATTTTTCATTTTCTTTCTTTCTTTCTTTCTTTCTTTCTTTAGATGTGTAACTAAAATATGATAAATCAATGTCACAGATAAAGAACAAACTTCAAAGCTACAAGTTAGAGTAGACAGTGTTTTCACATTTGAATTTATTGTTATTGATTTACACTGATCAGCCACAAATAAAACCACTGTGAAGTGAATACAATTTTATATATTGTTACAATGGCCCCTGTCATGGGGTGGGATATATCGGGCAGCAAGTGAACAGTCAGTTATTTAATATCTTGTGTTGAAAGCAGGAAAAATGAACAAGCAAAAAGATCTGAGTGACTCTGACAAGAGTCAAATAGCAATAGATGATTGGGTCAGAGCATCTCCAAAAAGGCAATTGTGAGGTTTTCCTGGTATGCAGTGGTTAGTACCAGAAGTGATGCATGGAACGACAACCAGTGGTCAACTGAGGGGGTTTTTGGCCCTTGGAAAAGTTTTTACATGCCTTGACATTTGTGTTTTTTTTTTCCAGATGCTTATAGTATGACTATAGTGTAATTGCATTGCATTCAGCACAAACTGTGCTACAATATGTAAAATATATAAAACAATGTAAAATAATGTAAAATGTGTACTTGCTTGTATTTTTGAGAAAATGAAATAAGGCCAGAAACCACATACTTTACATATGTCCACAACACTTGAATACTGGAATTTTTGTTATAAAATTATGTGAAAATCATCCAGCCCACTCATTCTGACAAAACAATATATTGAAGTAACTTTTGTGAGATACTTATTTTTTTTCTTAGAAAGACCATATGTGAGGAAGTGTCTATGGACATAAATATTGGTGTGATTCACACCTGAGAGAAACAAAGACCCTAATGGGCCTACAATATACTGTATATTTACAATATAGTGCACAATATAGCCTAATCAAAATATAAACAATGAAGTTTGAAGGTACATGATTTGAGCACACTGATTTGAATACAGAGACTTGAACAGACATGAACCATTGTGCCATTCCTGGAATCTGCTCCTATTCAACTGCAGACACAAGTGTTTGCCACTTCTTGCACTGAAGAAAAAACTGTCCTGCCATAAATAGACAAAGATGGAGCTCACCTTCACCATGTTCATGTAGAGTAACAGAACAATGTAGCAGTGCAGCTACAGCTATAGCTTTCAGAGTAAAACAGTGTGAAGACATGGGACATCGTCTGTGGTCCAGGTTCCTGTACAGGCAGGTATGGTCACTGCATAAAAAGCAAACAACCGTGAACAGGTCGATTTCAGGAGCAACTATATTGTTAAATTGTGACCCTGGAGCACAAAACCTTAAAAATCTTAAGTAGCATTTGTAGCAATAGCCAACAATACATTGTATGAGTCAAAATCATTAGGATATTAGGCAAAGATCATGTTCCATGAAGATATTTTGTAAATGTCCTACCGTAAATATATCTGATTTTCAAATAGTTGTGTCTCAGCCAAATATTGTCCTATCCTAACAAACCACACATCAATGGAAAGCTTATTTATTCAGCTTTCAGATTATGTATAAATCTCAATTAAAAAAAAAAAGACCCTTATGACTGATTTTGTGGTCCAGGGTCACAATTTACCAACAGAAGCAGAGCGTGACCTTCGGAGAGTCCTCTTTTCTGAGCATGTGAATGTCTGACCAAAGTCGACTTGAGGTGTTTAACTGGAAACCAAAAACTTCATAAAGGTTGATCTTTGATTTGTTAATACACAACAAATTATGATTGCCAGGAAACACACACACTCTGATGAACTTTATACCTTGAATGCAAGTCACTTTGGCTAAAACGTCTGCTAAGGGAATACAGGAAGAAGTGAGAATTATTTGTATTCTGTTGTCGCCTTTGGTATATTTTCAACATGGCATTTTGACTGTGCTGCTAGTATCTACAGGCATTTACAAGAAACTCTTTTGTAATTGTGGCATAACTTATTATTAGTGGGACATGAACACAAATTGTTATAGTATTTAAAACAAATTAGAGTTTGTAATTTACTGTTTTGAGTTACTGAAAAATGATTGTCTTTTTTCTGTATTGCTTTGAAATGGGTACCATGCTTAACACATTGTCTAATAGATGATGGTAATAAAAACACATGTTTTAATCAATTAGTCAGTAAATACATGTGCACTGTACAGATAACAAAAGAAGCTGGAGCCCTGAAATGTAGTAATGGAAAGTAATGATATTAGCATACACTTGGGGATTTTTTTTAGATGTTTTACACAGAACAACATGCAAAAGACTTTAGTTTCACAACTGAGACCGTAATGTGCCTTAATCGTTGCAGTGGGGGGGGATCCCAAAGCATAGATCTACTAACCACACTGTAAAACTGTGGGGCCGTGGTGGTTCCGGCAGGCCAGGATCCCGCCGTCGAGCCTCTGAAACCAGAGTTACAGTACATGACACAGGAGACACTTTAAAACTGTCAGTGCACTTTAAAACGTAATGTGCTCTTCCAGTCACATGCTAATGGTTGCATGGAGTTATGCTGAATAGCATTGTAAGTTCCGACAGAAACCTTTAAAAATCTAATGAGGGTTTCCACCTTTAACTAGGCCAGAATTGAGGCTTTGGGTCTTATTTATTAAATTCAATAATAGCAATGTATGCTGTTATTTTGACATAATGTGGTTGTGTGAGATTTTTTCTCTTGCATTGAATTACCAACAAATGATATTTGTGCTCTAGAAAGGTGTAACAACTGCATAAGTATGCAAAAATACAAAACCACAGAACAAAACTCTCCTGTCCAAAAACATGTGAAGCTCAATACATGTGCAAAAGCACACAGAGCAGGATGAGTGCATGCTGCGTAGGTAAAGGAAATGGAAACCACAAGTATAAGAATGAACATGATTGAAGAGCACAATGAGAGAATGACAAAAATGAGTGTTCAGTCGAGTGATTTGGATGGTGACTGTAAGGATTAGACTGAATGAATTTATATTTTGAGACCATCTGTGACGAACCTGACTTGTATTTAAGATGGATTCAGCATACCTGAGAAAGACGGCTTTGATCCTTTACATCTTGGTAGTTTTCATCCTGCATGTGAGCACTGATACACAAGGTGAGTTCATAGCATGTTTGTATGATGTCCAAGACAAAATCAACTGATGCTGTGATTTTCACGGGCTAGTTTTGGTGTAAACAACATTCAATTTAATTTTTCTTAGTAAAAGTTCAACAAAATGTGGGGATGCAGAAGGTATTATTCAGTTAAAAGGTGCAAGTGGAACGGCAAACATAATAAATTCAATTAAATTTTACAGAACCAAAGGGCATTTTAGGTGACATAACAATGGTTTGTTTAACACCACATTTTACTTTAGATTTCCAGTTCAATTTAATTTGCAGACATCCCTGAAAAAATGTATTTTATTTGTACCTTTCAATTCTTTACAGTTGAGCTATTTCAACCTCTGCATGCAGAAAAAGTTAAAGTGAAAACTATTTGCATCCCCACTAGAAAGAAATGATCAGTTCCATAGCATTTTAATGATGTTGTAACTGTTTTCCATTGTGTTCATATATTTGCTGCAATGTTATATATTTTAGGTCTTGCCCCCAAATGTCCTCTCTTGAAAGTTCAGAGAGGGACTGTCCATAAAGCCTTCATAAACAAGCCTTTCAAGATCTCCTGCAATCTGACATATTGTGATGAACAGACAATCAATGTGACATGGACCAAAGAAAACATGAAAGAATGGATTTCAATATCTGGAGCAGATCAAATGTCAACATCACAGAACTATTCATCATCTGATCCAAATATGTTGACTTCATATTTAACTTTCACAAATATATCAAAGCATCATGAAGGCTCTTACAGATGTGAACTAACGTTACCACACCTCTCTATATATAGCCATCATATCAATGTTTCTGTCTCAGGTAAAGATTTTTACTTTCCATGTTAACAAAAAAGATTATGTAAGGTTGAAGCCATCAGAACAAGATATGGTAATTATATGAACCTTTAAATTGATTTTTAAACCATTCTAACGCAGTTTTTGAACTTTTACAGATAACATCCTGGAATATGAATGTAAGAGCATATTCAATCTAATCAAACACTGACATGCATGTTCTTCTTAAAGATTTCATGTGATTCAATTCATGAAAAAATAACTACCATATATACATATATTTGGTTGCTGTTCCAGCTTAACATTGCTTCTCCTTTTTGCAAATTCCACTATTTTTTTCTTTTCTTAGTGACAATAGAAAGAGACAACACTGATAGCAGCTCTGGTTCATATCCATGGTGGCTGCCGTATCTCTTCATCTGTTTGGGTGTGCTGATTCTGGTTCTTATAGTAATGCTCATCTCGATCCTGTGTATTAACGGATTTAAAAGTAAGTCATTGTGTCATTTTCCATTGTTTTGAGATATTTACATTTCACCACGACCCTAAATTAGTCATTTTATTGATTATTCTCAGGTTTGAACGCAAAGAGATCGCAGGTTCAGGTATGTTTTATAAATGACTGATTAGTGTAAAATATATGTACTGTACATTTTTAATTTTGACACTACCCATTAATGTGAGACTAATGTGAGACTGAACTGAATGCCTTTTAAATTATAATTCAGTTTTTTTACTTGAATTGAGGTATGCAAGACACAGAATTGTGCCTTGATTTATGATTTATGACTGTGTAGCATTAAAATTATATTGAAAAAAGTTCGATTAACTTTAACTTTTGTATAAATTACCCATAACATTTTAACACATTAAAATTGATATACAAATGACATAAACAATTAGTGTTTGACAGTGGCGGCTGGTGGAAAATTTTCTAGGTAGGGCGCCACGTCCAAACACATCCCAGTATGATTTATTCCAGTATAACAAAGGTAAAATATTAATACTTAAAGCATTCGAAATAAAGATCATTATTTTACCAAGTTCAAGATTAAGTTTGAGGATAATTCTCACAAAGCTATATTTTCTGCACAACTTTTTCAAGATAAATTACTTAACATGCTATTAACAATTTTCATAATTCACACTTTATGTATACAGTGAAACAGCAAAAATTGTGAGGAAAAAATAAATGTCACATTTGTTTAGATAATTTTCTGTTACTACATCAAGCTGCAATATCAAACAAGATCACATAGAGTTGCCTGACTGCATATAAATACATATGGATCCATTCAGAATGATTAAACAGAGCAAAACACAAATTAAAAAAGCAAATAAAAACATTCTGAATTTGTCGAATGTGGTGATCTGAAGGCAGCTCAACATAATCAGTGAACAGTTCCTCTCAGAGTGAGTGTTGATGCCCATACGTTTAAACACCACTGACTATTGCAAACTCTTATATAAACACGCTTCTTCACTTGCCAGACATGCGACCTTACTGAAATGTGTATAATATAATTATGTAACAATTATAATTATAAAATAGTTATTCTAGACATAATAATTCATAACTGCCATAAGTAGTAACTTACATAAGTAGTGTTTAAAGATTAATGATTTAGTGGAGGAATATTGATAAAAAATTTTTACCTCTTTCTCATAATTGTTTTTTTTTTTTTTTTGAGAATACAGTTCACAACTGGTCTAGTGATCACAAATATTTCAACATTTCCAAAAGTTCAAACTGGTTCCAAAAATTCTGCATACACATATGATCAGAACTCTGAATGATTTCTGAAGGACCAATAGAAAGGCACAATTAAACCAGTGCACATTCTGCACTACATTCCAAGTCTTCATGTGTAAAAATTATTCTAAATGATTTACTATTGGTCATATACACCAGGAAGGCAAATTATAATGTAAAGAAGTATGCCAGTCATTCATTAATGTTAATGATATAAGAATTTAAATAAAAAATAAAAAATAGATGCCATTTTTATTTCTGTTTTGTGTTATGTTATATGTAGTGGGCCGCTCTGTGCCAAAAAGTCCAGGGCCACTTTTTAGTCCCAGTCCGCCCCTGGCGATGACACGAATCACGCGATCAAATTTCCATGTTATGATTTAAGCTACTGTAACGTTGCATCTACATATGCAAGCGATGCAATCATGCGACGCGACAAAACACAATAGAACCCGATAAGAACCTTGTAACGTCGCGCCGGATCCCAGTGTGTGTTAAATGCTCTCTTACTTGTCGCTTTGGATGAACATAACTGATTATTGGGTTCTGCTGTCTTTTGTCGTGTCGGGCTGCTCGCGTCCGGAGTACAATTATCCTTTCCCAATAAAGCAAAGTTGTTTTGCGCTGAATATTATCTTATCTTATCACACTTTATTATATTTTAGTAAAACTCCAATTGGTATTCTATTTAGAATTTATTATATGAACGTACATTATGTACATCATTTGTTTGCCTTTGAGGGTCACATCACCTGACAGCTGTCCCCCCCACACTTTTAAAATGGCTGCTACGCCCCTGGTAACTATGTAACTGGTGGTGTGTCGCCCTATCACCCTAATGAAGAAACCGCCCATGGTGTTTGAAATGTTTGTAGATTTTTTACATTTTTAAATTATTTACTAAGTTAACTATCATCTTGGTCCAAGAGCACATAATTTCCCAGAATGTTCTAATTTACCCAAAATAGAATTAAGCAAGATAATCTTGGGTACCTTAAATAAAACAGCTAAGAAGTTTTCTGTTATATTTTGATGTCTGACTGTTTAATTTCTTTAAATTGAGGTTAGGCACGTTCTGCTTCTCATTCCAACTCTTAAATTGTAAAAAAGCAAAATCTTAAATTCTGGATTTTGCATATCCAAATGTACAGTACTATATTAATGATTATTATGTCTGCAGTATACAGCAACAACTGTCTTGTCGTCATCAAGCCCCATTGTTCTGAAGCGTGATGAATTTGTCTGTGTCCAGAACTCAGAAGAACTACAGCAGCACTCTCGTAACAGCAACACATGTAATTTAACATTACAACCCGGACAGTCTACATCACACCTGTCAGACTGTAGTGATGATCCTTTGTCTAACAGGAAAGATAGCAGATCAAGTCAGGTTGTATATGCATCTCTGCATCACCTCGCACCAACACCATCATCTGCCACATCTCGTCAGACACAGGAGGAGTTTTCAGAGTATGCATCTATCCGGGTCTCCTGATTTTCTGTCAGCATTACCAGACACAGTTAAACAACATTTTCAAGTCTCCAAACTTAAATAGTGAGGCAGTTTTGTGCAACCGTACAATACTGTTAATCTATTCTTTCTAACAGGAAGAAGGAGATGTATGCATGTTTTTCACACTGCACAGTCAAATCATCACATGGTTTACTTTCCTCATTACATCACGGAAAATCATTGCTGTGAGTTCAGTGAGGTTTCTATAAGTGACACTCACACCACTAATCACATGTGTCTGATGCAGCACATCCATATCCTGGAGACTAGTCTAAGTGTTATGCACTAAAACTTAAAAATGAATGTTTCCAAGACTGGAGATAGATTTTTACAGTACTGTTGATGTTACAGCCAAATTAGTTATTGCTAGTAAAGAAGCTGAGAAGGTTAACTCATACAAGTATCTTGGTACAGTAATGGATCATAAGTTAAATTGGGTGGCACACAAATGATTATATTTACTTATATATTAAGTATTTTTGATGTGTACAAATCTGTACGGATAATGTTTTATAGATATTTTATTAAATCTGTTTTAACTTTTTTGTTGGTTTTATGGATTAAATGGCAGTTAATACAGTTAATCACTGGTGCAGGGAGTTAACATAGGGCCAAATATCATAGGCTTTGTACAGTTAAGTTTTGTCTGCTCTGTGAGAGAAAAAAATGTTCTTAGGAATTTGTTGACCATTTTAGATGCTACATAACTTACAGAGTTTGAAGTTCTCCCTAGATACAGAGCCCCAAGTGGAAGACTGTAAGAGCTTGTAGATCTTTTGTTTCAAATGCAGTTTTGATCATAAATACTTATTTGAAGCACAACGATATGGGTGCATTTAAATTTTTACATCTTAAACACATGAGGAAATGGCATATTGCTTATGCCTGGGTTTGTGGATGTGTATGTTGTGATGTTTTATATTATATGTCGGTGTGTTTATCAATGTTGATGCTACAGAAATTGCCATGTGAAGGGGCAACAAAGAGTACTAATAAAATGAAAAAAAAATTTGTTATACAATGATTGACTTTTGTTGTGTTTTTGGTGATTTCCAGTTTAGGACCTTTTGAGCCATGCACAAATTTTTTTAGAGCAGTCAGTGCAATTTGGGAAAGAAATCAATTAAATAAGCGTGTGTGTGTGTGTGTGTGTGTGTGTGTGTGTGTGTGTGTGTGTGTGCAAATAGGAAGTTAAACAGTTATTGAGTAAGCATGTGTCCTATTGTGTGTCCTAAACTCCTGAAACATTGGTGTCAATGCAAGAGCAGTCAATGCAATGTAGGATAGAAATCAATTAAATCTGTGTATGTGTGTGAAAATATTCAGATGTAACCCCCCCTTTGTAATCATTCACATTTTCATAAGTAACGGTAATCAAATTACACATTTTTTCTCAGTAACTGTAACAGATTGCAGTTACATTTATTTTGTAATTAAATTATGTAATGCCATTACATATAATAGTTACTCCACAACACTGTGAGGGATGATGGACCATGGCAAGGGGAGTCAAGGTAGTGACGAGCCACAGTGAAGCCGATAAGTCAAAGAGCCAAGGTGGAGCTATGGGCTTTGAAGACCGCCGTGAAGCCTCAAACACTGATGCTGGGGTGGAACTCTACATTGATAGGAGTTCCTCTGTGGGCGCAGGCTATGCACGCTTAAAAATAAAGGTGCTTCACGATGCCATAGAAGAACATTTTTGTCTAAATGGTTCCATAAAGA